TCGGCGACCCGGGACCGTCTTGGATCGTTTTTCGTGCCGTCTTGGGGCCTCTTGTGCCGTGTTTGGCGCCTCTGGGGCCGTTTTGGGGGCGCTCTTGGGCCGACTTGGGGCCCTCTTGGAGGCCTCTTGGACTGTATTGGGGGGCCTCTTGGGGGCCTCGAGGGCCGTCTTGGAGCGTCGGAAAACAGAAAAGGCGAGAACGCCCAAATCCTTGAAAACCGATTGAAAACAATTGATGTTTGCCTCTGGGGGCCTTCTTGGAAAGGCTCTCACGTCGTCTCGAAGGCGTCTTGGGGCGTCTTGGAGCCATCGTAAGCGTCTTGGGCCAATCTTTCGGCGATTCGGGACCGTCTTGGAGCGTCTTCGAGGCCACGGAGGGCAGATTTGGAAGCTCCAGGGGTCTCCAGCGGTGCGCCGGCGAGCCCGGATACCCCTGCCTCCTCGAACGGGATGTTGGACCCTGGGGGAAGGGGGAATAGTGGGGAGGGGGGAGGGGGAAGGGGGGGGAGGGGGAAAGGGTGAAGGGGAAGGGGGAGGGCGAAGGGGGAAGGAGGAAGGAGGAAGAGCGAAGGGGGAAGGGGGAAGGAAGAGGGGGGGGAAGGGGGAGTGGGGAGTGGAAGGGGAAAGGGGGAAGGGGGAAATGGGGGAGGGGGGCAGGCAACCATTCTTCCCTCTGCGTTACCTCCTGATCTCTCCTTGCCTTACGTCGGGCATGTCCCTCTGTAGGAAGAATATTCAAAGGTAGTCAAGGAATTGTCAGGGGTAGTTTTTTAGTTCCTCCTATCATGTTTGATGATCTTTCGACTATTCCTTTTTTTCCTTTCCAAATCCGCCTGTAGGAGGACATGCCCGACCTGATCCGTGCTTCCTTCTCATCCCTCCTCCCTCCTCTCCAGTTTTTGTTTGTTTGTTTTTGTAATATCTCTCTCTCTCTCTCTTTGTTGCTCTCTCTCTCTCTCTCTCTCTTCTCCACTTCGCAGTGGCAGTGCGGGCCCGGCCCCTGAGGGGCCAAGAGGGTATGTTGTGAGGCCCTCGTCGGGGGGCATCCAGCGGGGCCGTTGTGCAGGCCTCCTGGGCGCCCTCCTGGCCGTCTGGTGGCGTCCCGGTGAAATTCCGAAGGGGAACATGGAGCGGACCGGGGGCCATACATCGGAGGTCGACAGACCTCCTGCCCTGACACGTCGATGAGCGGATTGGCCGCGTTCGCTTCGCGAGGGCGGCGCGGCCGTCCTTTTTCGGGGTCCACGTCCGCGTCGGCTTCGGTCCCAGGCCGCTTTCACTGAAGGGTGGCTCACCAAAGTCAAGAGGAAAAGAAACACACAGACACAATTAATCCTCGATTCCCAAGGCAATATGGGAACATATGGGAAGTGGGGGGAAGACAAAAACCCAGAAAACATGAGAAAATATGTTTTTTTATTTGTGTGTATTTATTTGTGTATCCTGGGGCCCCTTCACAAAGGGAGGCTCGCCCACCGCCGAATGTAGAGAGCGGAGGCCCCTGCCGAGAAGCTCGCCTCCAGGGTGCCCGGGGCTTCTGGGGCCTCGCTGGCTCTGCCATGGCGGGCGCGACGCTGCCACCACCAGCACTCCGCGGGCGCCCGCTACGCTTCGGCGCGACGCGCTCGTCGCGTCGCCGGCCCAGGGCGCCCGCGTCACGCGCGAGCTCATGCCACCCGCCCGCCCAGGGACTCTGAGCAACACGCCGTCAGCTGGCTCTGGCCCGCTACGCTTCTGGACGCCCTGGTCCGCTGGCTCCGGCCCGCGCCGCCTCGGCGCGACGCGCTCGTCGCGCCTCCGGCCCGGGGCGCCCGCGCCCCGCGCGAGCTCGTCCTTCTGATCTCGCCGTGCCTCCCAGAGCCCCTGGGACTTGCCAAGAGGCCGCTGGGTTCCCCGCAGCGCTCCAAACGCTACGAGCCTGAACGCTTCAACTGGGGATGGTTGAAAAAAAAAGTAAAGCAAACAAAAATAACGTCCCGAGCGAGTTCATCACACCCGCCCGCCCAGCGACTCCGAGCGACACGTTAGGTCAGCTGGCCGTGCGCAGCATGCCGCGGCGCAGGAAACCGCGCCGCGGCACCCGGAGCAGAAGTGCTCCCCGTCCCACAGGGGGGCACACGGGCCACGTGGCCCGGCCTCGAGCGCCGCAAGGGCCGCCCTGGCAGACGGCGGGATGCGGGCGGGACTGGAGAGACAGAGAGAGAAAGAGAGAGAGAGAGTAAGAGAGATATTGAGAGAGCAAGGGAGATGGAGGAGAAGGAGGAGGAGGAGGAGGAGGAGGAGGAGGAGGAGGAGAGAGGAAGGGAGGAGGGAGGAGGAGGAGGGAAGGAGGAGGGGAGGAGGAAGGGGAGGAGGAGGAGGAAGGGGGAGGAGGAGGAGGAGGACGAGGAGGAGGAGGAGTGGAGGAGGAGAAGGAGGAGGAGGAAGAGGAGGCAGGAGGGGGCAGGAGGCAAGAGGCAGGGCACGGCGGACAGGGCGGGAGGGAGGATGGCAAGAGGCCGGCCAGAAGGGCAGCGGCCCGGCCGGCGCCCGCACGGCCCCGGGCCCCCACGGCGGCCCCGGCGGGCGCCCAGCGGCTCCCACGCTCGGGGTCCCCCCCTCCTCCTCCGCCTCCTCCTCCTCCTCCTCCTCCTCCCCCTCCTCCTCTCCTCCTCCTCCTCCTCCTCCCTCCTCCTCTCCTCCCTCCTCCTCCTCCTCCTCCTCCTCCTCCTCCTCCTCCTCCTCCTCCTCCTCCTCCTCCTCCTCCTCCTCCTCCTCCTCCTCCTCCTCCTCCTCCTCCTCCTCCTCCTCCTCCTCCTACTTCTTCCCCAGCAGGACACCGCCTCCCCGCCGAACACGGGACCCACTGCCGAATACACCTTCACCGTCGACTACGGCGAGCCGCTGCCCGCGCCAGGGGGATGCTCTACGGCCGCGTCCGCCTATCTCTGGCTACGCGCAAGGGCGATAACCCACTTTGGCGGAGTGGCCTCCTTGGCGCTCCTCGGCTTCAGGGGGGGAGGCGGAAGGAGCGGCAGAGGTTGTTGCTCTTGAGATTCGGGCAGGGCTGCTTGCCTGAACGGGGAGGGGGGAAGGGGAGGCGGGGCAGGGCGATGCCCGACAAGGAGGCAGGATCACGCAAGTCAGGGCTCGCCTGCGCGCCCTTTCGGCCCAGCGCTGCTCGAACAGACGGCGGAGAGGGGGGGGGGATCGGGGGGGGGGGGGCGCCATGTGAGTACGGCAGGTTCGCGTCGTTTCGACCACCGGCGGCGACCTGGCCGCGGGCGTTCAAGGTTGAACGCCGCCAGTGGCCCAGAGTCGGCCTCCATGGAACGATCGGGCGACCGAGGAGTCGCCGATCGTTCCAGGCTGAGCGATCCCCGCGGTGCCGGGAACCAAAGCCCGGGGTCGACACGAGGCGAACCAGCCGTAAGTTTGCCCGAGTCGGAAGGGAACCAGCCCCAAGCCCGGCGGCCGCTGCTGCCGCATGCTGCGGTGCACAACGGTCGGCAGGCCACGCCGCCCCGGTCGGGTCGGACGAGAGGGCGGATGCGAATGGCGGGGGGTGGGGGCCAAAATCTGCGGCGTGTGATGGTGGGCCCATTCCTCCGCCACCACCACCACAGATTAGCAGGACGCGGGAGCAGGATGAGGAGGTCCTCCTCTGCTCCTCCGCCTCCTCCCTCGCCTGCCTGCTTCGCCTCCTCCCTCGCCTCCTCCCTCGCCTGCCTCGTTCTCCTCCTTCTCCTCCTCCTCCTCCTCCTCCCTCGCCTGCCTGTGGCAGCAGCGGTGGTGGAAAGGCTGCCCATCGTGGAACCCTGGCGTCGGGAGGGGCCAGGGAAGCGAGCTGCGAGAGCGGGTTCTCGAACCCCCTCTTCCTTGCGACCGTGAGCGTTGTTTGGCTGCGCGTGTCGTGCCGCTACGTCTTTGAGTCGGGCGTGTCCCTCTACAGGAGGAATACCAAACCATAGTCAAACAAGAATATGTGGACGATGTGTTGAGTATTTGTTGCATGTTTGGAGTATGTTCCGAACAGTTTGTTTAAACTGTTTCTGGCCCAAGATCCGTCTGTAGGGGGACATGCCCGACCTAACGTTGCGTTGCATCTTCGAGGGACCTCGCCTGTCCCCCCAGAAAATTGTATTGTTTCCAGCCCTCCTGTGTGTCGGGTCCTCGTTTTGAATTCGCAGCGCCGCGCGTCACCTTCTTTCCTTCATTCCTTCCTTTTTTGTCCCCGTCCTCCTCCTCTTCCTCTTCACCCCTCCTTCCACGTCCTCATCCTCTGCTTCCCTCTCGCCATGAGCATCATCACCATCATCATCATCATCATCATCATCATCATCAGCATCAGCATCATCATCATTATCATCATCAGCATCATCATCATCATCATCATCATCATCATCATCATCATCATCATCATCATCACCAGCATCATCATCATCATCATCATCATCAGCATCAGCATCAGCATCAGCATCATCATCACCACCGTCATCACCACCACCATAATCTTCAACAACATCACCATCGCCACCACCATCATCAGTCTCATCACCGTTTCGACGCACCCCTCACACGGTTCATGGCCCCACAGGGAGCTCCACCAAAGGCTCCTGTGGCTGCATACGCACGGTCACTCGGGTCTGTTCGTGGCCCCATACGGAGCTCAACCGACGGCCCCAGAGGCTGCGTCCGCATGGTGACTGGGGTCTCTTCTGGCACACCCCTCACACGTTTCGAGGATCCGTAGGGAGCCTCGCCGAAGGCCTCAGTGGTTGCGTCCCCACGGTGACTCGGGCCCCTTCTGGCACACCCCTCACACGCTTCGTGGTTCGTGGCCCCATAGGGAGCCTCACCGAAGGTCCCAGTGGCTGCGTCCGCATGGTGGCTCGGGTCCCTTTCGGGCACACCCCTCACACGCTTCGTGGCCCCATAGGGAGCTCCACCGAAAGGCCCCAGTGGCTGCGTCCGCATGGTGACTCGGGTCCCTCCTGGTGCACCCTACACGAGCATGGCGCATGATCCGCGACGCGGTGTGGCTCAGAGGTGAGGTTGCCCATGATCCCTTCTGCTCCCACAGTCCCCGCCCTTGTGTTTCGCGCCGTGTGCACTGCTAGCCTCCGCGTGTGAATGAAGTCGCGTGACTGCATGCTGATCCGGGTCCGATTTTCAATGGCAACCTGCGACCCCCCCCCAAAGAGATCTTGTGCAGCGAGTGGTCTTGTGGATACCTTCCACGCTTGCAGGATGGGTTGGTTTCTTCGCCAGGGGAATTGTGCGCGGATTTGGCGTGGACTCGAAGCGGATCCGACACGGATTCGACACGGATCCGCGTCGAGTCCGACATGGACTCGACGCGGATAGGGCCGCGACGGGACAGACAAGGTCCCCCGAGGATGCAACATTCGAGTAGGGGATCGTCTGCAGAATTGAATTACCCCAGAACTGATTTCCCCAGTCGGATCTACGACGAACGCGTTGAACGTTCGCAAATCGACTGAGACTTCTAAGTCTTTTCCCTAGATAGCACGAGAACAGCCATTTCGGGGTAAACCAATGTTGTAATCGATCCACTACTCGAAGCACAGGTGCTGCCAGCCATGGCCCACGACGATGCGGCGCGACCCGCTCCCAGCACGGACCGGGACCTCTATCTGGCCCCGCGGAGGCCCCCCCGCGGAGCGAGCGGCACGCCTCCGGAGCGCCCGCAGCGCCCGGCGTGTGCCGCAGGGGGCCGCCTCCGCGAGGCGCGCGGCGCAGAAGCTTCCCCGACCGTGCCCTGAAGTCGGGCATGGCGCCCTCCACGGGAGGAGTGCTCGGAAGTAGTCCAAAACAATAGTCAGGGGACGATGCTCTGACTCTTTCCGACCGTCCCTGAGTACTGTTCGGCTGTTCTGGCTCTTCTTCCAAAAGCCGCCTGCAGGAGTTCAGGAGGGAAAAAACACACGGGCACAATTTATCCTCGATGCCCCAGACAATATGGGAAAATATGGGAGGTGGGGGGTAAGACAAAGACCCAGAAAACATGGACAAAAACTATGGGGAATCCTTTTGTTTGTGTGTACTTCTTTGTGTGCCCCAGGGCCCCTTCAAGGAGGGCCTGCCCGACGGGACCGTGGCCCCACCGCCACCGAGAGCGCCCCTCGGCGGGGCCGAGGCCTCGGCGGCGGCACGCCCGACGGGTGTCGGTCGGCTCGTGGCGGGAGGCGCCCGGGCGGGCCGCCGCGAAGGGGGCCCGGCCCCTGCCGCGGGGCGGCTCTCGGCGGCAGTGGCCCCGGTTTCTCCGCTGCCTCGCGGGAGGATCGGGGGCGGAAAAGAGGGGGCCTCCCCCTCCCCCTCCCCCTCCCCCTCCCCCTCCCCCTCCCCTCCTCCTCCCCCTCCCCTCGCCCTCCCCCCTCCCCCCTCCCCCTCCCCCTCCCCCCCCCCTCCCGGTGATGACTAGGGGGGGGGTGGATGTCATGGCGGGGGGGGCCCTGATATTTCCCCAGATTCATGGCGCCCCTTCTTATTTCGTTACGTCCCTGGCCCCCCCGCTGGGCCGCGCACATGCCGCCGGTCACGATTTGCCCCCCCCCCCCCCCCCCCCCTCTTGGACACCCCCCTCTTGGCCGCTCCCGATCTCTGGAGGGAGGAACGATGCGTAAACATAAACTTTTGGACGTCCGCGCAGATTTCCTGGATCCGCGCTGGGCCCGCCTCCCTGGCGCGTGGAGCGCGCCAGTGGCGGCTCCAGAGGCGCCGCCAAGGGGCCTCTGGCGCCGATCCGAGAAATCCTCGCGAACCTCCTCGCGAACCTCCGACATATTATTTATTTACGGTCGGCTCGCGTCGTCTCGACCAGCGGCGACCCCGCCGCTGGCCTTCAACGTTGAACGCCGCCGGCGACCCAGAACCGTTCGATGGTTGAGCGATCTGACGTTTCGGAAGCGGCTAGATCGTCAAAGGTTGAACGATCCCCGCGGTGCCAGAAACCAGTGCCGGGGTCGTCACGACGCAAACCTGACGTATGCAAGCTGTTGTCCCCGACCGTCGCCCGACCCGAGGGGTCGGCTCCTCCGCGGACGCCCTCCTGGAGGAGGGGGAGGAGAAGGAGGAGGAGGAGGAGGAGGAGGAGGAGGAGGACCTCCTCCTCCTCCTCCCCTTCTCCTCCTCCCTCCTCCTCCCCTCCTCCTCCTCCCTCCCCCCCCCCCTCTCCCCCCCCTCCTCCTCCTCCCTCTCCTCCGCCTCCCCCTCCTCCTCCTCCGCCTCCCCCTCCTCCTCCTGAGCTCCTGCGCGTAGCCGGCATCTCGCCACTGCCTGCGACGCGGGCGCCGGCAGCGGCGTGCGGGCGCAGACCAGCGCGGCGGAGCACGCGGTGGCGCTGTACGCCGCGCAGGCACTCAAGGGCAGTTACGTGCCGGCCGCCGGTGCTCCGAGGGGGGCAAGCGTCGGGGAAAGGTAAGACTCCTCCCTCTCCTCCTCCTCCTCCTCCTCCTCCTTCCTCCTCCTCCTCCTCCTCCTCCTCCTCCTCCTCCTCCTCCTCCTCCTCCTCCTCCTCCTCCTCCTCCTCCTCCTTTCCCTCCTCCTGACAAAAAAGGTCGCGGAAACGTAAGACTCGAGTGCGCCGGAGTTTGGGTTTGCCGGCGTTTTCTGACGAGCGCGTCCTGGGTTTTGACGGTCCAGTTTTTGTGGGGTGTTTGCAGCGGGAGCTCGCGTCAGATTTCAGATTGGGTCTCGGCATTTTTATGATGGCCCCGTCAGGCCAACCCGAGTCCCCCGTACCCGAGTCTTACGTCTCCCCGAAAGTGCACATTGAGGAGGAAACGATGGCATGTAAACGCGCATTCTTGGGGGCCCGCGCGGATTTCCTGGATCGGCGCTGGACCCCCTTCCCTGGCGCGCCGAGCGCGCCAGGGTCGGCGCCAGAGGCGCCGATATCCAAGAAATCCGGCCGCTCCCGCCCTGCGGTGTGGGCCGTGCGAGACCTCTCTGACACAGTGTCTGGCACAGTCTTTGGCCCCCTTCTCCAGTGCCTGGTCAAAAACCTCCTCAAAGTCCCTCCGAGGGGGCCCCACTCTGCCGCCGGCCCCCCCCCCCTCAAGGTCTCAAACGGCCCGGGGACGACCCAAGGGCGCCCCAAGCCGGTCCAAGAGAGTCCCGAGCAGTCCAAGAGAGCCTCCAGACGGTTCCAGATCGCTCCAAGACGCCCAAGATGGCCTCCAGACGGCCCAAGACGCTTTCAAGAAAGACGGCCCAAGAGGGCTCCAAGAGCACCCCCAAGACAGCCCCGAGAAGCAAAAATCATTGATTTTCCTAAGGTTTTTGAAGGATTTTCACGTTCACGCCATTTCGGCTTACCCACGCTCCACGACGGCCCAAGAGGCCCCCAAGATCGCCCCAGGACGGCCCAACAGGCCCCCAAGACGGCCCCAAGTCGGCCCAAGAGGGCCCCAAGACCGCCCACGAGGCCCCCGGGACGGCCCAAGAGGGGCCCCAGGATGGCCCCAAGAGGAGGCCCAGAAGGGGAACCCGAATGAACATTTCGAGCTTTCGGCTCAAGAGGCCCCCAGGAGGCCCTAAGAGGCCCCCCCGGAGGCCCCCAACAAACCCCAAGAGAGCCCCAAGAGGCCCCAAGAGGGCCCCAAGAGGTCTCCAAGAAGCCCCTGGGACGCCCCCAAGAGGCCCCTAAACTGCCCCGCAGAAGCCCCCCAGAGCTGTCCGAAGAGACTCCTACAAGCGTCCATGAGGACTCTGAGCCACAACCCAGGCAAGGTGGCGGGATCACTCCCAGACGCCGAAGATGGCCTCTAGAGGCCCTCACGCGCCTTCAAGGCGTCCCAAAAAACCTCAAAGGCCCCCAAGAGGGCCCGAAGCAGTTCCCAAGAAGCTTCCAGGAGGCTCCCCAGAGGCTCCTAAAATACCCCGCAGAGGCTCCCGAGAGCTGTCCGAAGAGACTCCGACAAGCGTCTATGAGGACTCTGACCCACAACCCAGGCAAGGTGGCGGGATCACTCCAAGACACCGATGACGGCCTCTAGAGGCCCTTACGCGCCTTCAAGACGTCCCAAAAAGCCTCAGAGGACCCCGAGAGCTCTCCGAAGAGACTCCTACAAGCGTCCATGAGGACCGTGCCCCACAACTCAGGCAAGGTGGCGGGATCACTCCCAGACGCCGAAGATGGCCTCTAGAGCACCTCACGCGCCTTCAAGGCGTCCCAACGAGCCTCGAAGAGCATCACCCAGCAGCCCCAACAGGTCCGCATGACGCCCTCAAGAGGCTCCAAAGCACACGACCCTTAAAGCCCTCCGAGGAAATTCCAAGAAGCGCCCATCGGGACTCTGACTCACAACCCAAGCGCGGCGGCGGGATGGGCCGAAGGCCAAGAAGGCTCCGGGAAACCCTTAGAGGCCGCCGCAAGGGTTTCAGGGGGTCTCCACAGGCACCGAAGCACCCCCAAGACAACTCCAAGAGGCCCCGGAGAGGCTCCCAGGGAACCCCCACGAGTTACCAGACTGCGCCGCAGAGGCTCCCGACAGCCCTCTCACAACCCCCCAAAACCGTCCATGAGGACTCCGACCCACAGACCCAGACATGCTGCGCACCACTTCGACAAACTCCCAGGGAGCGGCCGGTGATGCGCCGCCGGCGTCCTCGATCCGCGTGGACCTCCGAGAATTTATGTTTGTGCCGTGGTTCCCCAATCAGTGCTTGCACTGAAGGGGTCCTAGCGGATATTGAAAGCTTTGGCGAAACTTCTCCCGCCGATTTTGATGGCCGGCTGGGTTCCCAGGTTCCAGGTTCCCAGGTTCCTGGTCACTGGTTCCGGGCCGATTTCGCTGGGTTCTGGGTTCCCGGGTTCCCGAGTTCCTGGTCGATCTCCTCATCGATCGGTCTCTTTATCGATCCCATTACAAATCATCCACTGATTGGGCTTTTTCTCTGGTGTAATTTTTTCCTCGAGCAAAGATCCACCTGCCAGTGGACGAGTCGAGATAGCGGTGCAGCTGGCCCTCGCGGAGGTCTTTCATCGCCACGGCGGCGGGCGCAGCTCGGACGCAACGGGGGCGTTATGGCCCCGGGACGGGTGCGGAGACGAATTTAGAGCTGCCGCTGGCTCAGCCCGCCGTGTGAGAGGAGGAGGAGGAGGAGGAGGAAGAGGAGGAGGAGGAGGAGGAGGAGGAGGAGGAGGAGGAGGAGGAGGAGGAGGAGGAGGAGGAGGGCCGCTGGCTCAGCTCGCCGTGTTGCGGTCCCAGCGGGGAATTCGACCAGAGAGGAGGGGGAGCATGGATGAGGAAGGATGCGGATCCGCGCAAGCGCTCTGCCCACAGGCACCGCCCTCGCGCAGTTTGAGCACGTCTCGGACGCCCTCTTCTCGCTGACATGGAATACCAGCGTCCTCGACGGCGGGAAGCACTACAGGCTGTGCGTGGACCTGGACGGCGATGAGGCCGCCCTGGGTTTCGGCGACGCTGGCATCGACGTGTACGCCACTCCCGCCTCCGAGTCGCTCACGCGAGCCGTGCTGCCCGAGGACGGGCAGCAAGTGACCGTACGCTGCTCCGCAGGCTGCACTGCTGGCACGCTCGGCCACCTTGTCGACACCCTGGCCTCCGGCGGCTGCAACGACACGGCTGCGACAGACCCTGCTGCCCTCCGGGAGCGACTGGCAGCCCGGTCCGAGCTGCGGTCTTCCGTGTGGGACTTCGACGTCGACGCGAGAGGCCTCCTGGAAGGGTTCCACTACATCGTCTGCTTGGACCTCGACGGCGCCGAGGACAGCGACCGCGCCGGGGACACCGGCCTCGCTGTGTATGTGAGCCCAGTGTCGCACGCCGCCGTGACGGCGACGGGCGACAGGGTCGTCAGGCCCGCGCCCGGCCAGCAGCTCAGCCTCACCTGCGCGGGGTGCTCCAGCTCGACAGAAGCCGTGCTGATGGACACGTGCGCCGACGGCCACGCCGCAGCCTCCGCGGCCGCCGCCTCGCTGGGCGGCCGGGTGGTGGCCGCAGGCCACGGCACGTGGTCGGTGGACGTGGACGGCTTGTCCGGCGCGCAGGTCGGCCGGCACCTGCGGCTGTGCAGCGACCTGGACGGCGCACACGGGCCGCTGCGCACGGGGGACACCGGCCTCGACTTCTACGTGAGCGGCACGGACGTCCTCCGGACGCCCAGCGTCGGGCGCGGCGCGGCCGAGGTGGTCAGCCTGGACTGCGGCGAGGGCTGCTCCGCCGCGTCCACGGCGTACCTCTCGACCAGCTGCGACAGGACGGCGCTGGACGGTGCCATGCTAATCGAGAACTCAACGCAGACCCTGTCCTCCAACTTCGCGCCGAATTCCTCGGGCTGGTGGACCATCACGCTCAACACCTCCAACGTGACGGCGGGGCAGACGTTGACGCTCTGCACCGACCTGGACGGGTCGGAAACCGCCTTGGGATTCGGCGACTCCAGCCTGCGGGTGTTCGTGTCGGACGTCGCGGCCGTTGCGATGCCGGCGACGTGGGAGGAGTTTTGTTTTTCACCCCCTGTTCCGCTTCGTCGTCCTGTTACGCTTCGTCGTCGTCTTTCTCCCCCACCTTCGTCATCCCGCCTGTTTTCCCTCCCACCTCCCCCCTCGTGCTACTCTTTTCGGGAACTGGAGCATATTCAATCCTAAGACTTTTTGAGGGTCGGGGGCGACGTCGGGGTGGTGTGGTGTATACGTATTTTCCCGTTTTCCCAGGGAAGCAACGAAACACGTATACACCAGGAGCCCGTATACACCAGGATCCGTTTCGTGTGCGAATTTCAGTGCGGGGCCGGCAGAAAGCGTCGGTGTATAGAGTTCGGCTCCTTATTTGTCTCCCTCATTTGCATCCCCTGTGCTCTTCGTTCTCCTCGCGCTGTCTCCTCTTCCCCCTTAGTTTCCTCATGATCCCCTCTCTACCTCGCACGCACTCCCAGTCCTGACGCCACTCGCCAACCGAAAGCCGCACCCATCCCCCAAAAAAACCTCTTTACCACTCGAAGGGTGGCCCCATGCCCCATAGGCACTCTGGGTTTCTTAATATGCATGGGGGGGGCCCCCCCGACGGGGGTCAACCTCGCCTCGTCGTCGCGCTGCAACGGGGTTCGGAGCGCCTTTGTGCGCGGTGGCTGCCTGCGACGGGAGTCGATGTGGGGCTGCCGGCGGGGGTGACGTCCCCCCCGACGCTTGTTAAGAAACTCGAGGTACGCGCAGATCTCGTCGCCCTGCCCCGGCTCCCAGCGGCACTGGACCCACGAGGTCCGCCCAGCAGGGGCTCCTGTCCCGCCGCCGCCCTCCGAGGGATTCGCTGCCCGCATGCGCGCGGAGTTGCGTCGCCGCATGTCCTGTCCTGTCCCCCGCCCCCCCCTCACGCGAGATCGCCTCGCACGCCTTGCGCTGTATCCTGGGGCCCCTTCAGGAAAGCCTTCTCAGAAGCACCCCTGTGCTCTCCTTAGACGGCGCGGGCCTCTCCTGGGCATGCAGGGCCGTCGCCTTCTGAGAGGCAGCCTGCTTCTCTTGAAGCCTCCACAATGACTCAATGTGAATACTACTCTCCTCCTCCTCCTCCTCCTCCTCCTCCTCCTCCTCCTCCTTCTCCTCCTCCTCTACAATTACTCAATATGAATACTACTCTCCCTCTTCCCCTGATGACGGCCTGAAAGTGTCCGACCCCCCCCCGCGTACTGCTTTTTCACACACAGGTTTCCTGCATTTGTCTTCAAAATGCTGCTCTCGCTGAGGCGCCGGCCTCATTTTCGGGCCCCGCTCGTTCCGAATCGTGCTCCCGCTGCAGCGCTGGCCTCATTTCCGTGCTTCCGCTCGTTCCGCATCGTGCTCCCGCTGCAGCGCTGGCCTCACTTCCGCGCTTCCGCTCGTTTCGACTCGTGCTCCCGCTGCAGCGCTGGCGTCATTTCCGTGCCATGCCACGGCATGCAATGCAATGCTAGGTTGATGCTACGCTTTGCGGTGCTCTTCTGCGCCATGCCATGCCGTGCTCTACAATGCATCGCGTACCCTTCCGGGATCATTGCCCTGCTCGACATCCGACTGTGCGACTAGAGAGGGGATCTGCGCCATGGTAAGGGATGGGAGGGAGGGGCAGGATGCCAGATATAACGCGAGCGCACCTAGCTTGCCCTCTCCCCCTCTCCCCCTACCCCCCTCTGCGCGCCGGCAAGAGACCCAGTACGTTCAGCGTCGCTGCGCGGCAGCGGCAAGACCCGCGCGCGCGTCAAGGGGCGAGGCCAGGGCACGGAGAGTCGCGAACCGCAGCGCAGCGCGTGCCGCGCTCGAGGCGTCCGTGGCGGTGCGCTGCGTGCTGGCGCTCGGCGTGCTCGCCCGCGCGTCGGCGAGCGCGCGTCGAGTGCCGCATCCGTGTGCCACGCGTGGCGTGTTGCGCATCGGGGCGGCGGAGGTCCTGTCCTGTCCCCCCACCCCCCCGCGCGATCGCCTCGCACCGCACCCCCGCGGACCCTGCAGCGCGGCTTGGCGGCCAGGCGAGGCAGAGGCCCTTCCGCGATCTGGGCCCCCTGGATGGGGTCCGTCTCGGGCCCCGGGGGGCTGTCGAACAGGAGCTCGCTACCGACGAGACTGGTCGCTACCGATTCTGCGTCAAATGTTGGTATCGGTCGCGACCGATTTTCTTCAGAATCGGTGCTTCAAAGTCGGTCGCGATCGGTGGCGACTGGTCGCGGGTGAAAAAACATTGGTATACAATGATCTGGGCGGGATGAGAAGCCATTCCCCGGAAAGCGTGTCTCCGGAGGGGCTCTGCAGGCCAGGTCAGGGCCAAGAATGTGCCAAAAGCAACCTTTGCCCTCAAGCCTCGAAGCCTCTCCTCCTCGAGGCTAACAATATCGGCATGAGCTTCATCTGTCGGAGGTCCGCGCGGATTTCTTGGGCTGGTTCTGGCTAGCCCCCCCTGGCCCCCCCCTCCCTGACGGCGACTCTGACACTGCCCCTGGCGTGCCACCCCAGCGCGGACCCACGACATTCGCGCGGGCGCCCGAAAAGGTTTTTCCATGCCTATGCAGTTGTGTGTTCCTCTGCTTATCCCCCCCCCTCCACCCGGATCCACTCGCTGCCCCTTCTTCCTGAACAAGTTCTTGTGAAGTACGGGGGGCGTTGGTTAAGGAATGTGCCCAGGAGGCTTCACACCCTGGAGGATTACTGATCCAATGAGGGCGGCGGTGATATCCATGGCCGATCCACGATTGGAGTTGCACTGGCTTCCAGGCCCTGGATTCCATATCCAAGGGCTCCTTCTGCAAATCCCACACCGCATTTGCTCCGTTCTTCGTCGATTCCCAGCGAGCGCGCGGGACGCGCCGGCGTGCACGCGCCCGCGTGCAAGTTTCTGTGCGCTGCCATGTGGCCCTTCGTGCGTGCGCTCGTGCGCTCCTCTGCTCGTGCCCCCATCCCTTCAGGAGGGAAAGAAACACACAGACACAATTAATCGTCGACTCCCAGGAAAATATGCAAAAATATGGGAAGTGGTGGGGAAGACAAAAACCCAGAAAATATGGGAAAATATGGGGACTATTTTTATTTGTGTGTATTTATTTGTGTGTCCTAATTTCCCTTTATCCCTTCCCCTTCCCCCGCCCGGGTTGGAGTGGCCCAGGGAGGATGCCGATCTGGCGGGCGGCGGGGCGGGCGGGGCGCACTCACTGCCGATGGTTCTTCGGCGGGCGCCCTCTTGCCATCGAGCACAGAAGGACCCCTGAACCTCACGAACGCGAGGAAGGCGTGGCCTCGCCGAGGTCCCCGCCGTGGCATCAGGGGTCATCCTTCTGGGCGGGTTTGGTCTGAGACGTCTGCAGAGACGACCCCCCATCCCCGATGATGGTTTTGGCCTTTCTAACTTGGGTCCCCTCCCAAAGTGTTAGGGTTAAGTCGGGCCTGTCCCCCTACAGGGGGGATTTTCGACTAAAAATGAAAATACCCCCCAACAAAAATCAAAACATAGTCTGAAGATAGTCTGAGGATTATTTTTAAAATATTGTTTGGCCTTGTTGGAGCATGTTTGACCTTTTTGGAGCATTTTTCTTTGAAAATCCCCCTGTAGGGGGACACGCCCGACATAATGTTAGGGGTCCTTTTGTGGTCAATCATCTCGCGCCCTCGTCGCCACCGCCGGCGGCCCCCGCGCGCGCGCGCTGCCCGCACAGGAGGCCTCCAAGAGGCTCACCTTGGCCTCCGGGCTGCCGCTGGCCGTGCCGCGGCAGAGCGGCCTGCTGCTCGCGCTGCGCTGCGCGGCGCCGGGCAGCTGCTCCGTGGCCTCGCAGGTGCCGCCTCTGGGGGCGATCGGATCACGTGAACAGTCAAGCAGTGGCGAAGCGTCCCGGCTCGCTTATAGCCCCACCAAGCAATGTTCTGAGAACCGTCTGCGGTTCCCACGAAATATGTTCTTAGAACATTTCTGGCGGAGTCTGTCTTGTTTTAAGTCATCGGGTTTTTGTTCTAAGAACATCGTTTCTGTTCTTAGAACATTTCTGGGTTCTAAGAACATTTCGTGGTAGGACTATAGGAATGCCGGGACGGTCGGTCCCTGCTCAACCTCTGGGGGCGATCGGATCCTGTGAATATGTGGACGCTGACTAGCAGTGACTCTCTGTTGGGGATATCTCGGCCGTTCGTGGCCGAGTTCAAAATTGCAGGTCGAGGGTTCTGTCGCTGGTGCGTGTTTTTGGTAAGATCCACGCGTACTGTGCTTGGTTTCATCGTATTGAGCCCACTGGGATGTCATCGGTTGTGTGAGCTTCACTGGGATGAAGCAGTGCTCACGACATGTGTTGCTAGCACCTGAAGCATACGATGTGGCGTTTCAAACCAGTAACTTGCTACGTGAATAGTTTCGCCGTTTGCATCTCAATCGTTTGCTGTTACACCTTTACCCTTGGTTGCTGAATGACAACGTATGAATGTCTCGATATATTGAAAGATGGTCATCTCAGTGCTGGCTCGGATATGGCGGTAAATTATGATCTGGTGGCACGCAATATATATATATATATATATGTGTGTGTGTGTTTGAATTGGATGTGTGAATACAGCGATGTGGCGGCAGCCAGTCCATCACATCAGCTTCGGAGAGTAGCTGGCTCTCTTGGCCGGTCGAACACATGTACCGTACCTGCTTCGGTAACCAGGCAGGACGAAAGCAGTGTCACGGGTCATATCATGCCGGATCGGATTATTGCGCTTCCGAGTTTCTTAAGCCCTCTTGCCTCATCCTTTCTGCTCAGAAGAGTACATGCACCGATACCGCCGCCCATTCCTTGTCTCCGCAGTTTGATTCGCTTCGAAATCCTAGTGAGGACGCACCCCAGAGGAAGTCTGGGGAGTAGCGCTATTGGTACCGTTATGTTCCCCCACACATTCTTTCCTCCGGGTTTCGATCCCGCATCCTCCTTGCTCGGCTCTCCCTTATCCCGCCTTCCGCTGTGCATCTTTCCTCTTCTGTGATACTGGCCGCAGGCGGAACATGTGCCGTTTTCCCACGGCTCCGCCATATTCAAGGTGTAGTGTAGGGGGTATTTGTTTTGGCTGTGGTTCAGCTCCTGTCGGTCCCATCCCCTCTTGTTCGCTTCAGATGCGGAGGCGCTGGGAAGGCATTTTCTCGTTTCCCCAACTATCCTGTGGTGTTGGGACCTCAATTTAAATAGACAGCACCCCGCGTCTCCTCTTTTCTCCTCTCCTGTCCTCTCCTCTCCTCTCCTGTCCTGTTCTCTCCTCTCCTCCTACCCCTCCTCCCATTCCTCTTCCCTCTCCCTCCGCACGACCGTTTCGGCACACACACACACATACACGCATTCACACACAAACATACGCACACACACACACACACACACACACACACACACACACACACACACACACACACACACACGCACACACCCACACTGTTAAGTCGGCGGCGCAGAGAAACTTCAGGCGCAGTTGGCAGAATGAGGTCCAAGTGCGAACGAATTTAGTCGAACGCACAGTGATCAAATAATCCAGCCACGGCCATGCAATTTGGTGCTGGTAGTAAACACTGAGGCACCTCAAAGCCCAAGTGCAGCGGCCAAGCATCCCACGGAGCGTAGCTCGACGCCAGGAGTTGAAGCGCGGGCAGCAGTCTGGTGCTGATTCGCCAGCACAGTGCAGCGGCCAAGCATCCCGCGGAGCGCAGCTCGACGTCAGGAGTTGAAGCGCAGGAAGCAGGTGCTAAGTAACCGGTTGAAAAAAGAAAAGCGCTGCAGGTCTGCCGTACCAGCCAGCAAGTGGCGGCGCGACACAACATACGCGCACAGTCAAACCCCCCACCCACACACACACACACACAGTCACACACACACACAGTCACGCACACACACACACACACATACACACACACACACACGTTCCGTGGCCCCATAGGGAGCTTCACCGAAGGCCACAGTGACAGGGTTCGCACGCGGTTCCCAGCCCATGCTGGCACACCCCTTATACGCTTCGCGGCCCCACGGGGAGGCCCAACCGAAGGCCCCAGTGGCAGGGTTCGCATGC